TTCATATGCGTCAAGGCGTAGTCTCTTATGCAATTAGAAGACAAACCCATTTGGACTTGTATACCTTATCCCACAAAAGATGCATAGGAACCATTTGATACCTTTGGCTGGATATATATAAGAATGCTTAAAACATGCATGTGGCATTAATTTTAATTCTTTTCTTATTTCTGCGGGAGGTTTTCTTCTTTTTTTTGTGTGTACTTTTGTGAGGGAGGTGCCATACCATCCAATCAAATTATGCAAGGAATATTGCAACTGCTTGATGCCCTTCTTAGGAGTTGGCTTGGTTTATGTCCTCACTCCTCAGGCCTTGGGCATCACACGCAAATTGGACTTAAAATAATCTCATATATATATATATATATATAGAGAGAGAGAGAGAGAGAGAGGCTCATGTCCATTGACTGATCCTCAAATGTTAGAAGACTGTGATGTCATCTATCATACGTCGAATATATTATTAAAGAAAAATTAATGCCCAAGTTCTTCTTTGTAAGAGTAAGAGTGATTCCTCCGTTCAGACAAACTACAATTTGACACATATTTATATATATTTTTTATACTTTTAATGAATTATTTTGTATGCGTTTCACGTGACGAAAAAAGACTACTTAGAGGAAAAGAACCACTTTAGGTACCACATGCACTTGCCTGTTTATTTATATGGCCTCAGGTTCTGCATTACGAGATCATAGCAAAGGAAAAAAATGGCATTCTCTTCTTATGCTAATTTACAAGTACACGGGTCTTTCCAAAACCCTTTCATCTTCCACGGCTTAAATCACCTCAAAACCTCACTTTCCTCGTCTGTTAAGGTATACGTACATATATATATATATATATATATGATTATTTTGAATTTCATTTCCACAATATATTGCTTTATTTGGTTTGAACTTTGATTTACACATCCTTGGATCACTGTAGCCTCTATTCAAAGAGTTGCAGCAATTGCTTCCAAGGAAGGTTGATGTTTCTAAAACCATGAAAAACACTTCTGGGAAGATGTTAGATGCACTTGTGGACTCTATTTTCCAGTTTGTAGATCAACCGTTGCTCCCATCTCAGGTTGTATCTGTGGTACTCCAACAATAATGTACTACTTTGCACCAGTGGAAGAGATTGGAGACATTGTTGAGGTTATCTGGACCGAAGGAGAAATTCCCGCTGATTTTGCTGAAGGTGTTTTTGTAAGAAATGGTATGCGACCACTCATTGTTCTATGTTACATTTGTAATATTATATATATTAACTGATTTTAGCTAGTTTAATTGCTTTCTAATGAGTAATTTATAATTCTGATCCAGGCATAAATCCTTTATTCGGAGGTTTAAAATCAGCAGTGTCGATTTTCGGACAAACACAGCACACTTGGGTAGAGGGAGAAGGCATGCTTCATGCACTCTACTTCAAAAAAGATCATGATGGAAGTTGGATTATCTCCTACAACAACAGATATGTTGAGACTGAAACATTTAAGCTAGAGAAACAGAAGCATAACAAGCCATGTTTCTTACCAGCCATAGAAGGAGATGTTGCGGCAGTTATAGCAGCATATGTTCTAAATGGGGTAG